CAGGAATCAAGCAAAGGGACAAAAAGAACTGTGGCAGATACATTCCTTCTAACTGAAGTTGTATTTTCTAGCTTGTGTTGTGGGGAAGGAACACAGAGAAGGGCAAACACTGAGGCCTGCCAGGGAAAGCAGCAGCCAAAGTAGCCATTTGACATCCAGCTCCCAGCTCCAGCAATCTACAAGGAGGAGATGTTCTCCAGGAGCAAGGGCAGCTTTGGGGCAGTGCTGGGGACGTGGATACATTCCTTCTAACTGAAGTTGTATTTTCTAGCTTGTGTTGTGGGGAAGGAACACAGAGAAGGGCAAACACTGAGGCCTGCCAGGGAAAGCAGCAGCCAAAGTAGCCATTTGACATCCAGCTCCCAGCTCCAGCAATCTACAAGGAGGAGATGTTCTCCAGGAGCAAGGGCAGCTTTGGGGCAGTGCTGGGGACGTGGCACAGCACAGCCCAAAGCAAGACTCAGGGAAAAGTGGCGGTCCCAAAACTTCATCCCAACACCTTCCATCCATGAGACTGCCTGTCCATCGACAGGCAGTTGCGATGGGCAGTTTGATGCCTTCCCATACTGTCTCAGCTGTAACTCACATACTTCAGAGCTAGGACTTCTTTTTCTTTTTACGTACGTTCTGTTAAACACACTGGATGAGAATGCTCATGCAGTTTTTGTCACAGTCAAGTTCATAGCCATGATGAGGAAAATGCTTGTATCCTGAAAAATACCACATTTCCCAAGTGTAATTATCTACATGCTTCATTCCTAAAATTTTGCATATTTGAGGAACAGCAAATCTTTTGTAAAAGTATGCCACATACCAAAAGGAAATCATTTTCAACTTATCTAAGGGGATGTTCTTTAGCATAGGATATGGTTAACATAATTCCTCCTAATAAAGATTAGCTTTATAAGCTATTTGAAACAAATTACATTCTTCCCCCCTTGTTTGGTTTGTTTTGCCACAGACACATAAGATGGCATTAAATTCACTGTTTCTTTGTGCAAAACAGAAAATTATGACTTCTTTTTTAGAGAAAAACCTCTCAGGAATGTGCTTACGTTCCTTACATGTTATTTGATATAGTAGGCCACCTCTGTACTCTGGAATTACAATAATAATTTCTAAATTTTTGGATAAAGAACGTGGCACAATAATCCTATGGGAGTTACAAAACCTTGAGTGTACCGCGTAACACCTACAGCGCCTCAATTTCTCACTACATAGGTATTGCTAGAGCAGCTGGTTTGCTAACATAACTTGTAGAGGGGAAAAATGTAAAAGGGAAAGGTTGTAGCTGGTCTACTAGGGAAAACTATGAGATAATAACAGAAGTAGAATTAATTACTCCTTACTTTCGGGCGATGTGTATGGCAGGCTTTTGACAAAACTCTAAGAATTTGTATTTAGTATTCATATTTACAGGCTGAAAGAACTTTTAATTTTTACAGTAAGATAAAATTAATGTATAAGAGAGATATCTTAATGTCTAAGATAAAATTAATGTCAAGATGAAAACTAGTATATACTTCAGCTAATGGAAATCTGAATGGATTAACACTACCAAAAATAAACAGTAATAGATATTATTAAGCAATTCAGTTGTGACAGTCTAAATGATTATATCTGCCTTCAAAAAGATGACAGCATTTCTCCTGGTGCCTTTTCTAGAATGAGGCACTTGACAGTGAATAGACAAAAGTACACAGCTGGTATAACCCTAATGCTCGGTTTTCTCTTCC